CCGTACGACATGCTACCAACAACCGGAAATTGCTCTATTCGTTACAAACTACTGCTCTTCAAACGACATTCCTTTATAAGTGCAATCTTGCCTGTCTCTCTTAAAAAATGGTAGTTTGCTCAAGTATTGATTTCCAGAGAAAAATGCTTCATCGAGCTCGCTCCCATTTTTACTTGGGGAGGAAAAACACCAGCTATAATTCCAGTGAACATCGACCCCTATTCTAATTTGGGGAGAGACTATTTTTTTGCATCTTAATTTCAGATGGGTATCAAAATCCTGATGAAGCAAAGAAGCCAAGGATTAGTTCTCTCTCTCTACAGTTTTATGGCGAATTTTGCATCTCTGCATTGTAGAGGAATGGGAAAGACTAACACATTATTGTATATTCTGTACTTTGCCTCGATCTGATTTGACTGACTGACTCTAATTACATTTTTCCACTTCCTCACTCACTTTCCCTCATATTTTCTCTCATTTAATGCAAATTCAATAATCCGCCTCCTGTCAGGTTATCCAGCTCCATTTATCAATCTTCTTCCTTTCGCTTTGGTCGTGAGTGGGGCGAGAGGAACGAACCGCGTTGCACTAACTTTACCTTTTATTGCCAAGGGAAGAATGGCACAATCAGCGTGGAACATTTGGCCGGGTGCCTGCCTATTAATTGAATAAATACTATCATTCATTGAATCAGGATAAGTGAAATTTGGTGATGTTGTTGGTGGAACGACTTTGAAATCCAATCGAGGCACAAAGGAAAAACTACGACTCAATCTCGCAAAGAATACGGTGTGCAGAAAGCATTATGAGTTTGGAGAAAGTGCAGGTATGGTAAATAGAGAATGATGATTCATCTCCAGATCCAACTTTCCTTTTACTTTGCTCGTCATGATTTTTTCCTCTTTGTGCTTCCTCGTTATGCCATGGAAGCGTGAGATTGGTACGAATTTCGGCAAAGAGTGAGTAACAATGGGCGACAAGCAAGTGTAAAGTTCTTGGTGATTTTACACTCTGATTCTAATAGCAATATAAATATGTTCCTGTGAGAGGTAAAAGAGTAGAGGGATTTTTGGCCGTCGTCAGAGAAAGAGAGAGGATTTGTCTGCCTTCTATTTGACTGCTTAATGGATGAACAAAATCGGTGTGATTTGTTGAGGAAGTTTGGCACCAGCAGCACTCTCACTCCGCTCTTACTTCGAAGAAGGAAATGAGGATATCCTCAAGTTATGCATGTTACAACTACTCTCGCACTACAACAATGTGCTTGGAACTGTGTTATTGCGATGCCATCGTGAATATCTACTTGAGTACGGAATGATTGCAATTTTATGGCGTTTTGTACCGCAATTTTTTAGCAATTCTACCACAACAGCTAGGACGAGTAATACTTTGTTCTCAGAAGATATGTTTTTTTGAATAAAATACTATTTTTCATAAATAATGTGAGTCTTAATGCAAATGCACTGCTGAAAGTATCCATATTAAACTACTTGCTACCACATGGTACAGAGATTACATTCATTAATTTAGGTGACAATTTCAATTTCACACACAGAAGGAAGACGCACAAATATTTGATACTCACACACATTTTGACTTGCCTATTGCCCAGCACTTCTGGTCACCTGTGCTGATTGAGTTCCCAATATAGAAATACAAACATAAAGATATCTTTTATGCAACAGGGTTTCGGGAACATGTAAATAAATCCCTGCAGATTATTTTCCGCGAGGCGATTAAGCCAAGCTTACCATGAGTGACAATGTTTAGGAGGTCCCCACTTTGCACAACAATTAAACAGCTTATGCTTATGCAATGCGTACAAGCTGTAAGTGCAGGAAAGCGAGAGGGGAGAGGACGTCGATAAAGCCACTCTCTCTCTCTCCGATACTTATTAATAACAGCGCAGCATAAAGATCCACCGACCAACGTGGAGATAGAGACGACAGTATTCGTGCAGATGAGCATCAGGTGCATTGCAAATTTGGGGAGAACATTTAGAGGATTAAGCTGACAAACGAATTCTTTGCAAGGGATTATTACTGCGAATAAGCTAGTGAACAAATCTCCGTCCGTATTCGTCGTCACCGCGCGGATGACACGTCAAGTGCATGGACATTACTCATATGTAAAGGTATTATTAGTCTGGGCTTATCATCTATGTATCTATTATCTACGTACAAAGTATGAGCAAGCATTAGTAGCGTTAAAAGATATCCAGTTATCCAATGTTTCTTTGTAGTTGGATTTTTTTTCGTTTTTTTCCTTCAGCGTGTCCGTATCTGCTTTTTACACTGAGACGGAAAAACTCAGCCAGTCACTCATTCAGAGACACGGACAGAACAGAGGAGGTTCGATCACAAGTGGTGAATAATAACGGGGACAAAAATGGCTACAAGAGATGAATGTTTGAGGTGGTGGTGGTACGGCTGTGGGGGAAAAATTCAAAACAGGGTCACGCATATACAAAAACCACAAAATCCAGGGGTACAAAATACAAATGTTATTTGCACACTGCAGAATATGCATAATTTTTAAGGTACATTACTGACTCGACACTTGGGCAAAGGCTTGTTTCTGTACGACGTGGAGAGAGGAAAATGATTATAAAAAATGTATAGGACTGAATCTTTCTTTCGTTTAAAAAGTGCAAACTTATTGTTTTTTTTGGCCTGATGAGAAAAGGGAGGAGATATCGTTTCATTATTCATCAGTGTCGCCAATACTCAGGCTTTGTGGAACAATCCAAATACGTCCGTACACTCACTGGCCAACGAACCATGAAGGGACAAAGCCAACTTTCACCAATGCGTTAACTAAGTTAGGTTTATACTTGGCAAAGTGGTGGGTGGGACGATGCGAGAGTAAATAAATTAGGAAAAGGGGTGGGTCCCTAATTTACTTACGAGAAGAGAATGACGAACCAAGCGAGGAGACAAAGCCGGCCGTCGTCTCCTCTTTTTAATCAACTAAACAAAAATTTTAATTGACTCGGCTCAAGTTGCTGGAGAAACTTATCGTCTGCATTATTCGGGGAGGAAGAGCTAAAATAACTTATTAAATATGCACTCATCTGGGTCAGGGTTTCGTCTCCCATTTCAAAGAAGAAGAAGAAGACCATACTTTCTTCTTCTTAATGATAACGGTTGGATGAGTCTGATTAATTGAAACATAGAGAATTTTACCAGCCGAATGGGAGCGGCGAAATGTACTGGCTGGGAGGGGAGAAAGTGATGGAGAAAGTGCATGGGTGAGTGGCTGGTTGAATATAATATTCCCATTTGCGAGTTCACCCACTAACTCAACTTGGCTGGGTGGTCATTATTCTTGCAATAAATGCAGCCTTATCATGAACTTGTCTCCTTTTATGGGCACACTTTCACTGCTCGGTCCTAATATTTCTGACCATTTCCTTCCACTCTGGCTCAAAATACATAATCAAATTTGTGACAACTTTGTAAAGCTGGTTGGATTCTTTACTGCTGAAATCTAGCTCTAAATCTGGTCGTAATTTGGTTCATAGCCTTTGCTTCAAAAATATTGGACAAAGTCGGACAATTGGTGTATTTAGATGCCAAAATAGGCGCTGCGGGGTGGCCCATAATAAAAGCCCATGCGGTTTGCCTCATCCCATGAAACCATGAAAAAATATCTCCTCTCTCCCTTTCACAACAGGCCAAGTAGTAAGAATACAATACGGTAAATGTGGTGGAATTGTTGGATTGGTGTTGGGTTACGTGCATCCAGTCGCCCTGGTTGGACGTCATGTCCCGGTGAACAGCGTCGCCTTGCATTCCACGCCATTAGTACGTACATGGTCGCTGTCGCCGACAGAATAATTTTAATTTTGTATTATGCTTATTTTATCATTTTTAGTTTAATTTGAAGGTTGAGAGCATTGTCTCATTTTAACGTGTGTAGTATGTAAGTTTTAATCTTAAGTTCGAGTATGCAATTTTGTCTCATTTTGTCAAGTTTTATGCGGTATTCAGTCCATGTTGTAGTCAGTTCGATTTTTCAGTCAACGTGCCAGAAAGTCTGGAGTTAATTTGTAGTTTTAAGATTATTTTAAGTGAGTTTATTTGTATAAGTGAACCTTTTTGACCCTTGTTCGTGATTGGTCAGGCAGTTTTTGGGACTACAACCGTGTACTTATATTTGTATGTTTGAATGCATAAAACCTCAGAAGCAATCTACCATTTGTACCAGCAACATTAAAACTTTGAACCGGTAGTCGTAATAAAACTTTGTGCTTCTCCATTGCAAAGTGTGGTCAAGTTTTGAAATTATTGACATAATTTGCGGTGTGTGAGAAGACTTGGAGGACTTAGTAGGGACCCTGGACTATCACATTTTTGCATTTAACTGGGTGTAGGGAATTGGAAGCCTGCTCAACTTCATCCACTACAGTCGCCAAATAAAGGGCAAGAGAATGAAGAGAAAACTTGTCCATTCATAATTGTCTCCATTTTCTTGCCGACTTTTTTCAGTGACAATAAAATCTGCCATAGTTTCCCCGTCGTAAAATGTTTGCGAGAGTAACAAATGTGGAGGTTTGCATGAATAAAAATTGTCATTTTACGGAAATGGCGGTGAAATGAGGTTTGCTAAACCAGGCAACTAGTCACCATCATCATCATAATTTTCCTCCTGTATATTAAGAATGTAGTCGAGTGGGTTATGGGCATAGCTAATCATAATCTTTGCTATGATCCATTATGAGTATTTATTTCTCGTCTGCTTCCAGATTCAAGGAACGCAAGCCGACAACAAGTCGTACATTTTTCTCTTTCCGACGGGATGCAACCCAACCCAGCCTCAATCCATCACAAGTCGTAGGACGAAAGTACTTTGAAACTCCAAAAGCACAAAAAGGGTAGTTTTTGGAGAGAGGAATGTTACAAAAATTGCAAAATGTGTCAGTTAATAGTTCTCTGCTGCGGCTGTTTGTTAAATTCTGGGGGAGAGTGAGGGATTACAATAAAAGTTAGCTGATATACCTCTTGATCCGTCTAAGTCGACCGTACCAAGCTAAGACTGCTCTCAGATTCGTCCATTGTTGTTCACCCACACTTTTCGATCTAGATCTGCTATGCTCTGACAGTCTGAAATCCAAAAAACCTTCTTCCACCAACAAAAACCTTACAAAAGCTTTTGTGTTTCAATCACAAAATGACAAAAAACAGAAAATCCGTCGTTAAAAAATTTCAGACTTCCATATGGCTTTTTATATACACACATAAGAACTCACACTCAAACACATACTCACACGCTTCATCATCCTCCTTCATTTCATGTAGTGCATGGCTACACGACCATCCAAAAAACCAATCAACTCAACTTCATCAATCAGTTATTCGCAGTCAGTCCAACAGCGACGACGAGCTTTTACTGTACAATTTAACGTAAAAAATATCGGCTGTCACTAAACTACTGTTGGTCTCCTAGAAGTGAAAGCTAATAACTTACTCTACGCTGGATATACTCAATGGTAAATAAATAACGGTAAATATACACACAACAATATATATACGGACATTGTAAATAGGTACTTGACGACAACGCGACGCTGGTTTCTGCTCCTCCTCCTCCCTGAAACACGGGCTGACGATGCACAATGAATTTTGACAGTTTGATGAGCATCGCAATTAATCCTCCACTTGATCACGTCCAGGTCCCATTTCGCTACACGATTGCTTAAATAGTGGTAGGGCTGACAAATGGTTTTGAGAAAATGGTCTTATTTTCCTTGTTCATCTTCTGCCCTACCGAGTGTGAGTGTGCATTCCTCTTGTGTGCGTGTAATGACTGCACATGTAATGAATTCCTATTGATGTTGTTGTTCTGGTGGTGGTGCAAGTTATTATTATTCGCTAACGTAGAGAAGCTTTTATCTCGTCCAACTATGTGGCATTACTTAAAGTGAGTAAATTCGCGAGAGGAAATGTAGCTGGTGGGTGAGTTTGCAAAAAGATCTGCCTTCCCCGACACAATGCATACACGTAAAATTGTTTTGTGTTGTTGGCAATAGTGGAGGAAAAGACAAAACATTTGCCAGTGTGGCTGTGGCTTGTTGAAATGTTATTTCTTCATGTTTCCTACTCCTCTCTCTCTCTTCCAGAGAACCAGAATCCTTACCATCGCATCATCATCTTTTAAGGGGAATAAGTGGTGGCAGTGGTGCTGTTTTCCACTCCAGTTGCCACAAATATCACTCTCCTCCAATCTTGCAAAACCTTCCAGAGAAGAGAAAGTAGGCTCCCGGACTCCTTCGTGAGCACTTTCCCACCACCCAAAGCCTAAAGAGCTATGCAAAATCTGATGTGAAGAAAGATTGGTCTTGGCACAGAGTTCCACATATTTCGTGGAGTCCACGAAAGATTTTTTCTCCTTCCCAATTCTTATCCTCATTTTGGCAAACAAACCAGCGGCAAAAATTCCAGGGACGTTTAGTTTTGTATTCTTCACAACCAATACAACCCTCCTGTTTTTTTCCTTTCAGGGCGAAATTGCGACAGATTTAGGAAAGATTAGGGATGGGACGAGGAGGAGGAGGTCATGGGTTGAGCCCCGTGGTGTATGGGAAGCCCGCTTGGTCTGATGAACGGGTATTGATGCATACAATGGGATGAAAAAGTAATTAATAGAAGAAGCAGCAAATTAAACACCATCGCCATGCTGCTCCTTCGCTCGTCGAGCCAATCTCATTTATTTTAATGAGTTTAACACAGACATGGACGCGCCGAGAGGGTGGCGCTGAAGGCACATAGCGACGACCTTTAGCTGGAATTCGTCTCGACGAGCTTCTGGTATGGTAATGATGAGATATTATCTTCCAAGTCGTGATCCTTCCCAAGATTTTTTCCTCTCTCTCTCTCTCTCTCTAATCATAGAGATCCCCGTAGAATTGCAAATTAACTTTCACAAATCCTAAAAACCAAACCGCCTAATTTGCCTGGAGCGGAGATAAGAAAAACTTAAAATAAATACGGGCTTGTTGGCTGCTAATTTTGAACGAGCTAATGAGTATTTGATGACAGTGGAGTAGAGCATGAATACGAATTGCTAACAGCATAGAGTCGATTTAATAGCTTTGCAACTCCTTCAAGGGTTCTCGAGATCAGTGCAAAAATCCCGTTCTACATACATAAAGCTGCTTTAGAAATGGGTCAAAATTTCTGAGAAACTTATTTCTGGCGAGATATTAGAAACGGGGCAAACTCATTATCGAAATTGTATTCCAATTTATTTACTCAGGGCTCACTCCCCTTGGGGAAATTGGGCCATATTGTCAAAATTCAACCCACGCAGTCTTATGCAACGCTCTCCTTTGGCAATCTTTGACTCGCTTCTCATGCTTGAGTCCTTTTTCCTTTTAGTTTAAACTCCTGCTTTGAAGAGAAAGTGTTGGCGGCAAGGAATGTGTGTGTCCTTGGAGGACGAAATGATTAACTCACTTTTTGGATTTGCTCACACAATAAAGTGAGAGAATGAGAGGACACAATTCGCAAACATTCCCACACACGGAGCAAACACGAGCGTTAAATGAAGTGAAGATGAAGGAAGAGTTGAGCTGGTTGAGCAAGCATCCTCGACGACGGAGAGATGATGAACGTGAGCAAATGAGCATGGAGAGTGATGTGGTTTGGAGATCAAAGGGCGAAACAAGTGCCAAATGTTACAACTTAAGTGTTTACGAGTTGACAGTTCACCATGCCCTGACTCACTCACACTCGGCAATATACATGTTTCCCTATACCCACGGCCAGCCAACTAACCAACCCAGCAATGAATCCGCTACTTATGGCTGCCACTGCAAGATACGGACGAAACAAGGGTGAAAAACTTAAATAAAAGTGAAAGCATTTTGTGCGGGCTTCTCCTCCTCTTTAAAGCCGCGCTGCTTCCGTGGAAGGGGACACGACGGTCTTTGCAGTAATTAGATTTGGAGAGAATGAGACTGGAGCTCTTTTATTTTTATTTTATGACACGATTTGGCAACACTAAACCAACCAACCACAGGCAGACAAGCAGGTCGACTCGTACTACTCGTACACCATGGCCAGCTCTTGGAACCCACACATTACAGCCAGGCTCTCATTTGGTGAAAGTATTAGGAAAAAGCATGTACAAGATGAGTCGTTTGGTTGGTTGTGTCGTCCCATTAAAACCACAACACGAAACTGACCAACATATATTTCGCACGAGAATGAATCACATGCCCACCACGCCTTGTTGGTTGTCTTATCCGTCCGGGTCGTGTGGTGGTTCCCTACTTTCTGCACGAGGCTGCGGAGGCAGATAATTCTCCAGCAGGCCATGATCACCCACAAGCAGGAGCTCAGCTGCAACAACTCTTTATCTAGCGAAACCTACACGCCGTGGATCTTGTACTTGTGCGAATACGGACTTATACGTCCCTCCTTGGAGCGACCGCCTCATAAACTTTATTTGATGAGGAGAGTGTGATAAAAGGAAATGAAAATTCGCGTGTATTTGTTCAACGGGTCTCGAACAGGGCCACTTTCAACGTGCACAGATCTAAGGGTCGAGATTTTCGGGGAATCTAGTCTCTGCGGATTAGGGATAAATAGGGGCACTGGCTCGTTCTCTCTTTCTCCGTGCCATCGACAACTCCCTGGATGAAACAAATGTTGCTTGAAAAGTGATTATAATCTGGAGTAAGCCTGAGAAATATGACAAAGAGAGCCCACTACTCCTCTTTCTCGGGGGATATGTTATTCATAATCGGGTTGTTTTCATGATTGGCGTAACTTTGTTTTTCAAGGCTTGTTTCCCAACTGTTTCTACTTCCACGGATAAAATGAGATCTGCCTGAAGCTTGAAAAACGAGGACTCACATATTTATTATGTAGATACATAGTACAAAAAAATGCGTGAAAACTAATGTCACCCCAGCAGTAAATCGTATCTCCAGTAATGCCACCGATTGAAATTCGCACCACACATTTTTCAGATATTTTACGACAATAAATTCCCGGAAGTCGTAAACTTGATCCGGCCAAATAACGGGATAACATTGAGTCTGGATTTTTATGTCGTGCAATCCTTGTTCCCGAATTAATTAAGTAGTGAGGAGGAGGAGAAGGAAGGCCGAAATCTATAATGCCATCACCGTGCTCAGCGAGGTGGGCACCCTTGACTCGCGTTCTAGCTGACTAGCTGCATCAAAGTTATTTCGGCCGTAATGTAATGTAACTCTCTCGAATCCAGCCAGACAACGGTCAGTCAACCAACCAAGCAGCCAACAGTCCAGGAATGACGAAGGATGGAGAAATTGCACAAAAAACTCACTTTCATCCATCCATGCCTTCCTTCCTGCCTGCCCAATCTTTTCGGGCGGGTGGTGTGGCAGAGGAGAAGAAGAAGAAGACGACACGGGCGAAAAGCTGTTACGCAATCCGTGGCTTCTGGTCGAGTTTGGGTTTAATACCGCTCTTCTCATGCAATTCTGCTGCTGCTGCTCTAACCCTGCCTGCGGTGATCATCGTGGTCATGTTGTTGGAACCTCTGTCCATCCATCCATACCCACCACTCGACCTTCATCTATCTCGCCCTTTTTCACAGTAACCACCGCTCCTCATCTGCTTATGTACTTCTTCTGCTTTCTCTTGACCCGTCATCACGCAATCTCTCCGCCTCGGTTTAAAATCAATGAAATCCTCCCCCACGAAACAGAGAGGCCTTTGTGGCCCAGAAATTTGAAATCTCGCAAAATATCTCACCCTTTCTCACGTTCCTTCATTTGCTCGCCTCTCTCTCTCTCTGGGCTCAAATAATCTTTTCGCAGACGGAGAAAGCAAACATTTACCGAGTCATTCCAGCTTTTTTCGCTTCCTTCTTGACTCTTCCGATTGGAAATTGCATTGTAATCTCGACCTATAGAGAGTTTTTCTCCCATTCTTTTTCTCTCTCCGCATGAAACCAGACTGAACCAAATTTAAGGAAACCACGAAAGAAGTGGTTCAAGTCTCAACCTCGAGGAAAAAATACTGTTGGAGCTTTCCCTTGTGTACAGTTGGAAATTGTGACTCGAATTTTTATTACGCTTTCTCCCCCCTCCTTCCCTGTTGTTCTCCACATTATTACGTTTATTATTATCACTCTCTCTCTCATTTCAAATTTCTCCCCGTGTGTGGCTGTGTATGTTTCGCGAGGAGAAAGTGGGGCCCATTATCATAATCTCATTGAAAGGAGAGATGGAGGACCACAAAAGAGGTGATGTATGTTCCACGGTGCGATTTTTCGGTACGTACGAGGCAGGACGTGTGTAGGTAAAAAGTCCGCTTGGATGCACGACATCCAAGTCACATCCAATCCAACTTATGGGTTTGTCCGTAAATACGTGTTGGTTAAACTTGTTGATGGAATCTCATCATTCTTATTCTCTGGCTGCCTCCAGCCCAAGATTTGGATGGGCCTGGTCGTCTCATTCTCTCTCCTCGTCTCGAGCACTAATGTGATTTTCTCAACCCCTTCTTTTGCAATCATCTACTCCATGATTGGTGTCAATCTCACTCACTCTCACCAGATCCAGGTAAAGATAAGGTTGGTTTACCTGCCTCTCCACCCACCACCTCCGACAAGGCGGATGAATAAGGAACGTGGCTCGCCTCACCAGCACGAAGCCTATCCATCTCCACTTCACGGCACCCTAGGGCAACCTCATTTCCGCCAACTTTCCCCAAAATTGGGCCTTATCATTAGATAAGCGTCATTATTCCATTACGCCTCGCTTGGTTACATGAGTTGAAGGAGGGGCATCTCTTCTTAATTAAACATTAGATACTTGAGTCACATTACTCTGTTTTTTTTGTTCGGGCTGAGAGAAGAATGTCATTAGCACGTACGCACTAATGCGGAGCGACTTGCCTGCCACACTCGTCATTGGACAGCAGGGTAGAATATTGACAAGGCCGTAATGAAGGAGGGGAAAGAGACGAGATATGGAACGACACTCACTTCTTCATAATGCATCGAGTACGTCGTACGACCCACTTAAAAGCTGTTATTTCCTATCATATCTGCCTCCAAATTTCCCATTATGTCACGATACATGTGATACATACCCGACCAAATTCCGCAACGGACCACTTGAATGAAATGATGTTTGCACAAAGTGAAAGAAGAATTTATGCCAACGCAACTCCTCACGAACGAGGAGAAGCAGGGGACACTTCTGGGTGCGGATGAATGACTGGTATATTGGAAAGGAGGAGGAAGGATAAAACAGCGGCAGAGGCTCAAGAGTTGTCATTCTCTTTCACCCCACTCTCGCCATTATCACCGTCGTCATCATCAGCACTTTTAAGTGCAGTTTGATCAGAGGAAATTGGATAACTCGCAGTCTCACTCTATTATGAAAGTTATAAATTAGGTAAACAAAGCAGTCCGTGCTCCTACCCTTGTTGGATGATAGATATTCGACATGTCTGTGCATGCATATTTTTGGTTGGTCATCAAGTAGGAATTCCCTTTCAAATTATATGCTTCGAAAAACCAGACCAATAATAATTTCGGTTTTGTTTGACGAGTGACAAGATAACGAGTCGTCTGCTACTAGGGAACATAAAGATATATGAATAATAAACCAGACCCGGTTTATTATTGTCTCTTGTCCTGCTCCTTCCTCCGTACGTACAAATTTGTTTTGTCACGGGAGCAGGCCTCCAGGTATGCATGCCTACTGCCCACCCAGTTCTCCACAATGGGAGAGGAAATGTCAGCGTAGTAACGTATAAATAAATTAGTCATTTATACCCGGACCAATTACGGGGTCGTAAATAAAAAATGTGTGGCTTATCTTCCACCATTTCTCCGCCCGGGGGAGAGAAGGAGGGAAAACTGACCGCAAAAAATCTCATTACCGACAGATTTTATTTGGACAAGGGGAATCTCCTCATTATTTGGGAGAGAGAGAGTATGTATTGGGTGATGGATGTTATCATGCCTATTATCTTATCAGGTATGATCTCGTCCAAGTCTGATGACGATGAATACTCGCTCGATGCTTGTTAATGCCACACTGCTGACGGTCGTACCGTTCCATGTAATATTAATAGCTTGGGTTGCAAACATCTCGTGTCAATCGTGCATTAGGAGACTTTCATCATAACGAGAGAGAGAGATAGGAAGGGGCAGAGAGAGAGGAAGAATTCAAACAAATCCACCAATGGAGGAAATAACTACCGTGTAATTATTTCCTCTCATAATTATATTTGTTTTTTCCCTCTCTTTCTTGAAAAAGTAATGAAATAACGATCCCAATTCTTGCAATTGTATTATTATCTGGTCATCATTACTGGTCGGTCGGTTATGCTCCTCTGTCTGGCGGAATATATTGATCGGACTTGTATTTCTATCCTCGTGTCCATCACGTCTGTCTGAAAACTTATTTCGCACAAAGCTCTCTATACATTTACAGATTTGGCATGCACTCAGATCTGAGACAAGAGAGGATGAAATCGGTCTGATGGATGGGTAGATTGGATACAGAGAATTGTGCCATGATGGAATCAATTGGATTACTTGAGTCGGAGCTCACTTCACAAACCCCGTGTCAACTGCTTATTAGTTGCAGCAGAGAGACAGCGAGAACATGAAGGGAGAGGTTTAATGAATGTGGTGGTTCTACTGTTTTGCGAGATGATGCTTTCTCTCTTCATCATTACTTTTCACTCAGAAAGAGAGAGAGAGAGAGTCACTCCTTTTCGTCTCTTTTCTGTTTTCTCCAACTCCCTCATCAAGCTGGGTCCTCGTCCTTTTCAGAGTCATGATTCTCGGATGATTATTATTCTCCAGAATTTTAGTTGGCCTACTCTCCCCACACTTAATTTACTCAGCCACCACTGCATGCTCAGTCAGTCAGACATGGAGTTCAGCAGGACGCGCAGTCTTATCCAAACAAATCTGACCCAGATAAGTTTCACAAATCAGATTAGCTTCCCAGCAATAAGTGTTAACTACTTTGGATTGGAGGACTTGTTGAAAGTTTAGAAAGTCCAAGAAATAGATCGTGCTTAAAAATGACCACGACTCCTGACGGAGCATGTGATCCAAACTGTTCTCCTTCCAGTAATCACCTCGCCTTGTTCCTCTGCCAGGAGCAATAACTTAATAACAAGAGAAAGTTAGGCTTCTGTTGCACTCGGACTGAGGAGTCCATGTAGCGATTATTTAGAAAGTGGGGGGCTGCCTGGGAAATGGCTGGCTGATCAGATAAGAGACTTAGTTAGGCCGAGCCAAAAGTTTCGTAATTATCGAGTCCTGCTAGATTTCGTCTTTTCATCAAGTCAGGTGTGAAGACGGGCTGGAGAGCATTGTGCAAGTTCTTCGGAGGGATTGATGACATTATTATTGGGAGAAAAGGATGAAAATGGGTTTGTGCGGCTATAAATTGGGTGTCAAAAGCAGGCAGAGCAAAGACCAGACCAGACGAGACGACGACGATGACAACGGCTAAGAAAACTTTAACACACGCATACACACACATACAACTCATACATTTAGTTGGGTGTGAGTTTCGTTTGTGTCGTAATTACTTTGTGACCTGACTCCAAGCGGAGGGATCGATATCCGCTCAAATCATGCTAATTATGAATAGGAGAAATACATACCTGGAAAACAATTGCTTCTCATTTCCACCCAAGCAAACTTTCCCACCACCACCACCGCATTTAAGCCAAGTGAATATTTAGCAGGGCTGGGAATTTTTCCTTCCTCGGAAATTGTCCCAACATTCAATCCTGTCACCTTTCACATTTCGCGTGTGAATGGAAAGTTGTGTGGTTACGAAACATGGCAAAGTTTAAAAAAAAGTTTGAATTTGTGTTCGGATTATTTGGACACGTCTCGAGAGGGAGAGAGACAGGCGAAATCCTTGCTCCGACCACATTTATTTATTGCTCACGGACAACTTTCTCCTCTTGCTTACTCTCGGGTCGGACAGCCCTTTCCATTCATTCATTTGTATAAATTGAATAACAGCAAGTTTGCCCGAGTGAGAAAGAAGCGGAAGGAGGAAACGTGTATGATTCACAATATTATTTTTAGACGCTGGGCTCGATCGTCTCACAGAGTCAAACCCAATAATAATAAATGTAATTCACTCAACGCAATAAGTTTAATACGTTCCTTCGGCCGTACGTAGGTTCGTATGTTGATGGAAGGAAACAGGCAATTCTGGTGCTCGAGATGAGAGAGGTTTCTTTCTACGACGTCATGTAAAATTGAATATTTACATATGCACTGATGAGATAAGGACGTGCCTACAGAAGTCCATTATGCATATGCATGTGTGATCGTTGTCATTGGACGAGTTGGTATGTAAGTAAGTAGATTATTGTGTTATTAGTCATGCCCTATTTTAGGGTGTGGTATTTGGATTTGTGTGCAGCGACCTGCGTAACAGGGCTGGGTCGTCGCAAC